ACTCTCCACCTTTTTTCAAAAAGATTGACGTTATGTCTCAGAAGTTGTTTCTATCTTCAGGTGATATTATTTTATTGGTGGTTAAGTCACAATCCCAAATTATTCTGTAATCTAAAGACTACATTTTAAAAGTAAACACAATCCATGCCTCTTAGATAAAACAGTGAGAAGGGAGAAGAAAAAACATTTAATGTATACTTAACAGACAAGAAGTAATTCAGTAACTAGCTAGATGTGCAGCCATTACAGCTTCCATCTCTCACTCCTTGTTCCATGTTTTTCTTACCCTGAACCATTATCATAATTCGTTAGAATTCCTGATTTGGGAGTAAACCAAACTGTCATTTCTGAAGGGCATAAATTTTATCTATATTTGGTTGTTGAGGTCTCTATTAAATTAGGGCATGGAAACACAGAATATGGGTGAATATGGACTGAGACACCCTCAGAAACCCCTGAGTTTCAGATGTATTTTCCTCTGTTATACTGTGGCACAGCAATTATTTTTCCTTTTGATAGGATCAATCAACATAACCACAAAGTGGATTGTTTCTCTACCTGTTGGTTTTGTGGCATAAGTACTACGTGTCAGCCTTAAGTTTCAGTTTCATCAAATTATTGTTGTTTCTCTGGTAAAGGCATACCTCCAGTGAGAACCAAGTCTTTCACATCAATATAGCCCAAAGGCATAGGTCCAGAAAGTGAAAGTTTTGCATTGTATGCTACCTAAATATCAATCCCCCATTAGTCATGTGCTGAGAAGGGTTCAGAGGAGACATAGAGGACTGTATCAGGGAGAGAGATACTGACACTGCTGAAAAGCTATGTGATATTTGTCCTCTGTGGGCCAGGTGTGATGGTAGGAGGCCTTGCCTTTGATCATTTCAGTTGGAATGATGGGATCCCAGAGAGGCAAGCTCCACATAGCAACAGACAAGGTAGGCACAACCATAACAGGCAGGAAAAATAGACTGGCATCCAGAGTATGGCACACAGAATTCAGATGGATCACTGGAGATTACTAATTGATCAAGCTTTCCTTGGAAATAAACACCACATAGTAGCAGTGCTTACCTACAGATGGTCCCTGGCATACAATGGTTTGATTTAAACTTTTTAGACATGACGATGCTACAAATGCTATTACGTATTCAGTAGAAACCCCACTTCAAGTACCTATTCAACCGCTTGTTTTTCACTTTCGGTACAGTATTCAATAAATTATAACATAATTAACACTTTATTATAAGATAGGCTTTGTGTTAGGTGATTGTGCCAAAATGTAAGCTAATGTAAGCGTGCTGAGCACATTTGAGGTAGGTTACACTAAGCTATGATGTTTGGTAGGTAAGGTGTATAAATGCATTTTCAACTTACATTTGTCAGTGGAATTATTGGGACATAACTTCATCATATGTTGAAGAGTATTTGTGTATCTTTCAGTGCTTACAAGCATTTCTTGAATCTCAAATGTAAAGTAATTTTTATAAAAAGAAAAAAAAAGGTGTAAAGAAACCTGACTGGAAAGAATTTAGGAAGAATAACTAAGTTTTAGTCATGACTGCACTGTGGACTTCGTCATGACCTTGGGCAAGAGGCTTCTTTTGGGGACCTCATCTTTTGTAATTATAAAATAACAAGATAATTTAAAAGATAATAATAGCTAGGTGTTTACTGAGCACCTACAATGCAGCAAGTACTATTTTAAACACAACATCTATCATCTCATCCAATCCTCTTATGACATGTGTCCTATTATTAAACTCATCTTGCAGATGAGACGATTAAAACACAGAGAAGTTAATACTCCATACAAGCTTTGACAGTTTGTAAGTGGCAGTCCAGGGTCTTAAATCTACACACTTAATGCCACTAAGTCATGTATGAAGCCTCTTTAATCTCAGTTTCAATGTCTGCGGTTTTCTTTTAAGTCTCAAAATGGCCCAACTTGATCCCCAGAAATGACCAATTTTAGGCAACAGAAACCAGCTTTCTGCAAGTGGGCTGATTGTGTAACTTAACTCAGGTGGACTAAATTGGCTATAAATTTTTTACCAGGCATCTATGCCCTACAGGCTTCTGGGCACTAGAACAAAAATAACAAAGTGCATAATGATCACAACAGGGACAACGTGCCCAAACAAATCTGTGTGTGCCAAAGCACAGGAGAGAGGAAAAGAAATAGTTTTCTATCAACACCACTGATCATTCTGGGAGACTACTTTGTAAATGGTTGCCAAAGCAGAAAGAGGGTGATAGTGCGTGGGAAGGCTGGGGGTTACAAGGCGTCACAGAATGGCGTGGAATCATGGGAAGCCACTGGCCTAGACGTGTGACACTCACGCCGCAGTCCTGCCTGTGACTCTAAACTACTTCACAACATTGAACTTGTTATAATCTCCACTGGATATTAGCACTAAAGGAATCCTCAGTTTGAAATTCCAGATTTTACAGATGAGAAAATGGAGGTACAACAAAGGCGCAGCCAAACCTCCGTTCAACTAATCAGAATCCCCAGGCTTGTTTCCGTCCACACTATGCCAGTTTATCAGCCTAAGGCTACTCACTATTCCAAGCATCAATTTTCCCATCTGTAGAATGGGAATCACCTGACATACTCGAACCATCTGCTATAGGTGATTACACAAGACTAACTGAGGTAACACATGAGAATGGTTTTAAAAGTGCATAACCATTCAAATGCCACTGGTCTGAGGGATTTGGAATGTAACATTTCCCTTCTCCCTGGGTAACCATTTCTGCAGACTGTAGCAAGAGTGCCCTAAGGGTCTCCAGAAACAGACTTGGAGTTCAAGAGAAGACACACATCATTTAAGGTCAACCAACAAGTTAGAACGAAGAGGAATAGAATGGAAGTATGGGAAATTTTGAGGAGACGGTGAAAAAGAAACTCATAGAAAGTAATTTGGCAAACCACAAATTTTATCCACAGAGACAAACTGATCACTCTACTGCTTGCATCACTTAAGCTCACACGAGACACAGCACGTCATGATGCACCAGGTGAGTGATCTCCAATAAAAAGGGAAGCCAGCAAAGGTATCCTAAGTTGGGCTGTTTTTCAGCCCACAGACTTTCTGCTGATGTGTCCTGTCTCCTCCTCAGCCTGGACACGATTGTCCCACATGGCCTGGTCATCCCTGATGGATTTAGTCAGCCAACTTTTAAATAATGGCGCGTCTTGGCTCAGGTGTTCTCATTTACTGTGCAACTACTTTTTGCTTAGCTATCATCCAGTGCTTATTATGAGCCCAAGACTGCACCTAGTGCTTTGTGTGTATTACCTTATTTAACTCTCCCAACAGCACGATGAAGGAGGTCATTGAATGCTTTTGAGATGCTAATATAATCCTCATTTACCAAGCAAATATCCTCAGCCCAGAGAGGAACCAGCAAGTGGAGGAGCCTAGTCTGAAAGCAAGACAGTCCGAACCTAGGGTCTGCACTTTTAACACCCTGCAATTTTGCCATCTTGGTTGTTTCACTGCCTTGAGCTGTAACTTCAAGCCAGTTGTGCAAAAGAATGAATCTCTTGAGTTACTTTCCAAGCACTGTTTTTTACAAATATTTAAGAAGCTCTCACACTGATGAGACAGTAACCTTATTCCATATAGCTTTAGAAGTTAAAAAGACTCAATGGCTGAAAAAACCTAGCCCAATTTTAGCTTACTGTAGAAAAGACTTATGTTTTCATGGAAGTGGTCCAAAGAATGGAAATAGCAATTTTATGAGTGTGGCAAGTAGAAATTATTGTTTAAGCAGAGATTGTCAGAGACCACCTGTTAAAGGTTGCTGCCACACTGAGGGGGATTTCCATTTTGAAGCTCCTAAAGTCATGGCTACTCTGAAATCTCACAATTTTATGACCAGTAGGTCTGAATAAAGAATAAATAACATCTTTTTTCAAGCATGGTCTTCTGTGGTGATTCTGCACCAAGGATGAGCTGAACAATCTCCTAAAATGAGAATTGAGAAATAAACTAATTCTGTGTATTGAGAAAGGAAATACTTCTTCTGGGTTTGATCCATTTTAAAGCCATCATGCTATTCTCTGCCTGAAAACTATTTTCTATCTCAGTGACTAAATTTATTCCTTCTTCATGGGCCATTTTAAGTCTCACCTCCTCCACAAAGAGCTCCTCTGGGCCATCCCAGGCCTTGACACTACCCTCTCCTCAAACTCTTACAATACTTTTTCTTCTCTAAAAGTCAATACAGTACCTTCCTACTCGCAGGGGGGAAAAAAATCACTGTAGGAGCTGTCAGATTTCAGAAGAATCAATGACCGTTCAGAAAAACGATACTCAAGAACTTGAAAGAGAAATGTGGCCTGGAGCTAAATCCTAAAACACTGACTGTCATCAAGGAGGGTGAGGAATATGTCTGATCTTCTGATGGAATCTTAGCAGTTAGCACAGTAAGCTAGCACATTGTAGATGCTAAAAGCATTTCTCAAAGGAAAAAGAGAGGAAGGAAGGGAAGCCCCATGTTTAGATTCAAAACATCCATTTTTCAAATAGAGGACGGTGCTTAATTTGGCAATACTCACATGCAGTATTATTTGACTACAAGTTGGGGGTGTTTAAAAAGCTTACGCAAAATTAGATCAGTCACATTTATACATCTATGAAATCAATATGAGACAATCCAAGCTGGCTCTACTGTGATGACCGAACTACAGGTAGAATTCAAGATAACCTATTTTAAGATACCTTGCCAAAAGAAGATAATGAAAGGTCTAAATATCATGTCAAATGAGATTCACCTGAGGTAAATACGTATCTCTACCCAGAAGATGAGAAAATTAAAAGAAAATACAAATAATTAAGACTCTTACAAGAAAGAGAAAAAAGAGAGGTGACTCTAAAGGACAGAATTAAGATGACTTGTTAGAAACTGTGAATACATCTATTTTGCTGCACGTAAGAAAGGGGTTTCAAGTAAGCATAAAGGGTCTATTTCACAAAGAAATAACTTACCGTTTTCCGCAACTTCAAAGCCTAGTGGAGTTCTTCATTCACGGTAGAAGAAGGAAGAAAGGAAGAAGGGAGGGAGGGAAAGAAGGAAGGAGGACAGAGGAATGGAGGGCGGAAGGAGGAAAGGAGGGAGAGGAGAAAGCAGGAAGCGGCCCTCTCAACTCACAGCTGGAGCCAGCCCTTTCTACTCTAAATAGATCAGGATTTCTTACTAAAACCACATCACCTGCCCTTTCGTGGAAAGTCTCCTCAATTACCACCTGGTCCAAATTTGCTTTAATCAGACTCTTTCACCGTGAAATTCCACTTCGAATTTGACCTACGTCTCTGAAAGGCAGACCATGACGAAAGCGTTCATTTTCCTAACTAGCAAAAAAAAAGCTTGAAATTTCTCACGTATATTTTTTGTTCTTTTCTATTATAAATGTTAGACATAGCACAGTTTCAGCATCTGCCAGCAAAATTAAAAAATAAAAACATAAAAATATATAAACCATTGTGCAATCAAATTCAGTCAAAATAAGGAAAGATGAGAGGACACATAACAATTTTTAATAGAATCATGGTTTTTAAACCTTAAATTCCAATATTCGATATATCTTTGTTGAGTAAAATTCTGTTTGTTCATCCTCAGAGGTTTCATATAGTCTAGTCCTGAGTGTAATCAGAAATTCCTGTGACATTTAAAACAGTTTTGTAGCATCAACTTGTTTTTTAGATTTTAATGACAAAAAACACAAAATGGCCATTCTGTAACAGTCACTTAACTCGTCTTGGTCATATGCCTTAACTATGCATCATCCCTTTCGGTTGACCCTGATTGACTTGATGTCTGACTTACCCTTTAGGATGATCTAAAGAACAACCTGAGTTGTTGGAATCAGGAAATCTGGGTATTAGTCCCAGATCCACTCCCTCGTAAAGGTCTGGCCTTGGGCAATTCCGCAGCTCTACTGAACCCCAATTTTCTCAGATGTAAAATGAGATAAAATTATTGCCCCATTTTACCTATCTGACTTATTGCCAAATTATCTGAGATATCCTATATGAACATGCTTTAGTGATCTGTAAAGACTTTTTTTTTTTTTTTTTTTTTGAGATTGATTTCACTCTTGTTGCCCAGGCTCGAGTACAGTGGTGTGACATTGGCTCACTGCAACTTCTGCCTCCCGGGTGTAAGCCATTCTCCTGCCTCAGCCTTCCAAGTAGCTGGAATTTACAGGTGCCCGCCACCATGCCTGGCTAATTTTTGTATTTTTAGTGGAGACGGACTTTGCCATGTTGGTCAGGCTGGTCTCGAACTCCTGGACTCAGGTGATCTACCCACCTCGGCCTAACAAAGTGCTGGAATTACAGGCATAAGGCACCATGCTCAGCCTGTAAAGACTTTTTTTTTTTTTTTTTTTTTTTTTTTTTTTTTGAGACGGAGTCTCGGTCTTGTTACCCAGGCTGGAGTGCAGTGGGGCAATCTCGGCTCACCGCAACCTCCGCCTCCTGGGTTCAGGCAATTCTCCTGTCTCAGCCTCCTGAGTAGCTGGGCTTACAGGCACATGCCACCATGCCCAGCTAATTTTTTTGTATTTTTAGTAGAGACGGGGTTTCACCGTGTTGACCAGGATGGTCTCGATCTCTTGACCTCGTGATCCACCCGCCTCGGCCTCCCAAAGTGCTGGGATTACAGGCTTGAGCCACCGCGCCCGGCCAAAGACTTTTAAATAGCATAGACATCCTTGTCCTTCACAAGTTTATAAGCAAACAAAAATATCCTTAATTCATTCTCAAGGAGCAACCTGGGATTGGGTTCCTTCTCAAATTCACAAGATCTCCACAGGAACAACCACTGCTGTGCCTGCAGAGTGGCTAGAATCATCACAGAGAGATGGCAATGCAACCGAGCTCCATTGATGGGTATTTTGTTTTCTGGCGGAACTAAAGCAATAGCAACATCCAATTTGCAAATAGTGTATTTCCTAAACTTCTGCTTTCTATATGTTTTGTCACTATGTAAGTTCAAAGTATAATTGTAGCCTATGTGGGCTTTGTACACCCTGGAAATCTGAGAAGGACCCTGAATTATAAAGCTACTTTTATGATACCCTTATAAGGCTACTTTTATGATTATTTCATAATGGCATAATGCATGGGGCTAATACCACTCTGAATTCTTTCTTTCTTTCTTTCTTTTTTTTTTTTTTTTTGAGACAGAGTCTTGCTCTGTCACCAGGCTGGAGTGCAGTGGCATGATCTCTGCTCACTACAACCTCCGCCTCCTGGATTCAAGAGATACCCCTGCCTCAGTCTCCTGAGTAGCTCGGATTATAGGAGCATGCCACCATGCCCAGCTAATTTTTTGTATTTTAGTAGAGACCAGATTTCACCATGTTGGCCAGAATGGTCTCCATCTCCTGACCTCATGATCTGCCCATCTCGGCCTCCCAAAGTGCTGGGATTAGAGGCATGAGCCACCTCACCTGACCACCACTCTGAATTCTAATTACAGTCCTACCAATAAAGATACTCACATCCTAATCCCCAGAACCTCTGCATTCTATATGTGACCCTACATGGCAAATGGGAGTATGCCTTGACATAGGGATATTATCCAGAATCAGCTGAGTAATCATCGGGAACTTTGTAAGAGGAAGACAGGAGAGTCAGAGGTGTGAAGGAAGTGCTGATGCTAGAAGTGGTGGTCAGAGCAATGCACGGCCATGAGTCAAGGAATATGGACAGCCCTTAGAAGCTAGAAAAGGCAAATAAACAGATATTCCCTAGAGCCCCCAGAGGAAACAGCCAGCCCTTGATTTTAGCACACAGAGCCTGATTTTTGACTCCTGGTCTTCAGAATTTAAATAAATAAATAAATAAATTCACGTTGTTTTAAGCTGCTAAGTGTGTGATAATTTGTTAAAAACAGCAACCAGAAACTAACACACTAGGTTTATAAAAATATTCATCTCTCTAAAATAAAATAATTGTCACAAACATCTACACATGAAACATCAGTTCTGACATTCTATAGATAGTCTTATTGGGAAAAGCTAGTTTGTCTTACAACAGTGTAGTTAGTTTTTACATAGATAATTAGGGCTCTGTTGCCTCTCTGTTGCAAGTTGTTTGTATTTTCGTTTTAGTTCTTGCATTTATTTGCCTGAAGAAAAAAAAAAAACGATATGTGTATGTTTTTTTCTGAAACAAAATAGGGATAAAAATAATAGGCTGAGCATGGTGCTCACGCTTGCAATCCCAGAACCTTGGGAGGCTGAGGTGGGCGGATCACGAGGTCAGGAGTGCGTACCAGCCTGGCCAACACAGTGAAACCCCATCTCTACTAAAAATACAGACTTTAGTTGGCCATGGTGGTGGGCGCCTGTAATCACAGCTACTCAGGAGGCTAAGGCAGGAGAATCACCTGAACCTGGGAGGTGGAGGTTGCACTGAGCCGAGATTGTGCCACTGCACTCCAGCCTGAGTGACAGAACTAGATTCTGTCTCAAAATAAAAATAATTAATTAATTAATTAACTAAAAAAATGAATAAATGCAATGAAAGAAGTACTGGCTGCAAAGGAAGAGACTTGGTCTCTAGTCCTGACTTGGCTAGCGGGTAGGCCACTCCACCTCTCTCTCTCCTCTCTCTCTCTCTCTCTCTCTCTCTCTCTGTATGTGTGTGTGTGTGTGTGTGTGTGTGTGTGTGTGTGTGTTAGTTTCCTGGTGCTGCCATAACAAATTACCACAAACTGAATGGCTTCAAACAACAGAAATTATCTCACAGTTCAGGAAGCCAGAAGTACAGAACTAAGGCCTCAGCAACATTAGTTCCTTTCGGAACCTCAGAAGGGGAATTTATGCCTCCTCTTAGCTTCTGGTGGTTGCAGCAGTCCAGTTAGCAGCATTCTTTTGCTTGTAAGTGCATCACTCCAATCCTTGACTGTCATCACATGGGACCTCTTCCCTGATTGTCTTTTCTGTGTCTCGGTTTCTCTTCTTATAAAGATACTAAGCATTGGATTTAGGGCTCGCCTTAATCCAATATGACCCATCTATCAGTCAGGGTTTGTCAGAGAAACAGATCCATTTGGATACACACACACACACACAGAGAGAGAGAGAGAGAGAGAGAGAGAGAGAGAACGAGGTTTAAAGAATTGGCTTACCTGATTATGAGGGATGGCAAGTCCTGAGATGGGCAGTGGGCAAGCTAAAGAACCAGGAGAGGTGATGATGTAGGTCTAGTCCAAAGACCAAGAGGCTCCAGAGCCAGGAAAAGCCAATGTTTCAGTTTGAGTCCAAAGAAAGGGGGGGAAAAAAAAACAATGTTTCAGCTAGAAGGCAGTCAGGGAAGAGGAACTCACCCTTTTTCCAGTGACAGTCAGCCTTTTTGTTCTAGTTCCACCTTCAACTGAATAGATGAGGCCCATTCACATTAGGCAGGGCAATTTGCTATACTCAGTCTAACCATTTACATGTTAAACTCATCCAAAAACATCCTCACTGAAACACCCAGAATGATGTTCCACAAAATATCCAGGCACCCTGAAGCCCAGGGAAGTTGACACATAGAATTAATTATTACAGCCTTATCTTAACTAATTGTAACTGCAAAGATCCTACTTCCAAATAAGGTCACATCTGAGATTCCAGGTAAACAGGAATTTTGGAGGGTGGGACACTATTCAATCCTCTATACCCTCTCCATTTCCCTCTCTGTGAAATGAGGCCCTGGACCTGCTGGATGGAGGCAGGTCCTCTATAGCAAGAGGTTCTAAGTGCTGATAAGATTGGGAAATGCTGCTTTGAACAAAATTGGACAGGTTTTTTTTTTTTTTTTTTTTTTTTTTTATCACTGGTCCTTGCTGAGACTTTATTTCATAAAGAAGTGAATTTTCAAGAGGAATACTGCTCTGTTCTTTCAGGACTTATTTGATTATAGAAACCCCTCTCTGTTTTTCTCGGCATGCCTATGAACACCTCTCAGTGCATAGGTCCCTGGAACCGAGTTTCAGAAACACTGGGCTAGATCAATGATCTCCAAATAGTCCTCAATTTCCGACAATCTGTGGTTCTTCAGATCATTAGTTCTCCAAATTCCTTTTAAAAAATAAAGTACTCCTGAACTCCCAGTGTTGGTTTAAATTGTATTTATTAAAATGTTACTTAA